TAGGTCTATTGCATCCTGAAAAACACACAGAACAATAATAATAATCATGAAAAAAGATGAAGAGCTGTTTTCTATGATGAGGGCATTCACGTCTTTTTGCACACACAAGAGATTGAGAAACTTGCCTGGCGAACTCCATCTTGGAAATTATTTAAATAATATCTTGAAAGGGCACTCATCCCATCTTTGATTAATCCGGATATAGTCTGTTTCCCATATCTTAAAAAAAACATCATGAATGAGAAAGGAAACATAAGAAATTTTAATATTATTAATATTAATATTATTATTACCTGACAATATCCCCTTTTAGAGCATTTGTTCCAGAATACTCGAGGCTGATTTCATCACCTTGATCCACCCACACTATGAACATAATTTATCCATACAACACTTTATCCAGACATAACTTAATGGAAAACCAAAAAAAAAAAAAAAAAAAAAAAAAGGTCTTACAAGTCCTGAAAATCTCAAGATCTTCATCAGCTGTGAAACTACAAATGCTTTCTGATTGTGTTAGTGCACACATCCGCTGCAATTGTTGATTCAAAGAAATCCTTGCAAGATAACTCTGCAACAACAAAAAAAAAAACAATTTTACATGTTTACCCTTTTAGGGCTTGAAGAATGACAAGGGCATTCACGTCTTTTGGTAATACCTGGGTAACATTTGTGCGGTCAAGGCAGTCAATGCAGTTGGATCGGATGATTCCTTTCTGCTCTGCTACCAACTCTCCTTGTGTGGTTTGGAGGAAGAATCTGCTGAGCTGGAAGAGTGAATATTATAAATGGTTTTATGGAAATAAAAATTATAGCTCCATTTTTAAGGAAACTATTTCAGGTGACAAAATTGTAAATAGTGTAGTTAAGTTTTGCTAATACCCCTGCTTTTCAAAGTCATCGGCTATTTCATCATACAGAAGTTTCAAATTCTCAAAATTTCGGTTGCCACATCGTTGATGGAAATCAAATGAGACATATCTGAATCAATAATAACTTCACATTAAAATTTCAATCAAATGATATAACTTATTAAATCCTAAGACATGAATAAAGATTAAAGAATCACCTAACATCAGGAAGCTTTTCCATTTCTGTGGCAAATGCCAGGTTTAAAAGGCTCTCGTTTCCATGCTACATTATCACAATAACATAAAAAGATTACTACAATTGTGAAGAAATATAACAACATATGATACATATTTAAACAGGGTTGGTCAAATAGTCAAATATTAACCTGGTCAGTTAAGTCAACAGCAATAGTATCTCCATATCTTTGCATAAGATCATGAAAGTGGCGTTTCACTACCATTGGCTGCATTCAGTTAAATAAATAAACCATTCACACACTTTAAGGAAATAATATATAATATAATATTCTCATTAAAGTATAACTCATGAATTCAGGAGTAAAGTAAATGATGTTATTATGATGGAATTCATACTGTATCTTGATGCTCAATAACAGCAAGACGTGGTTTATAACTTAAATCAACAATTTGCTCCCACAATAGAGGAATTGAACCTCGGACCTGAAATCAAAAAAGTAATATAACTTCAATGTCTTTTAAGAAATATAATTTCAATATATCTAGTAAAATGAATGTTTAGAAGCTGCTGAAAGATTATATGTTCAAAAGATTAACACAAGTCAACAACCATTATTTGGGAATTTGAAATTTATATATATACTCAAATACTGTAATTGTAGTAATTACCTGTAAAAATGATGACTTGAATCCATCATACTCCAGCAATTGTTCAGTTTCAATAAAATTTGCAGTGTCACCTTCTAGGTTAGCTCCACGTCTCCACATTCTAGTACCTAATTCAGTAATTCATATCAAATACCTCAAACTCCTCAAACAAATAAATATAACAATCTTAAAGTTATCAAAAGAGAACATTTCAATTTAACCTACCAAGACGCCTTGTGCACCTCCTTGATATTAATGTGATTGTGGATGTTAAATTATTCAGTTTCAGCTGTCCAGTTTGGAAACGTAATCTTCTGTTAAGGAGAACATCATAAATAGCATGGAATCAAACTACTATTGTATGGAAAATGACAGAATGCACTCATAAGAACAATTGTAAAGGATATTTCCTTGTAAGAGTGGCACAACGAACTCATCAAGCTGTGGTAAGAAATATGAATATATATCAGAGAAGATTATATCATAATCATGAAAAAATGAAAATGTAGTGTCTATTGTCTAACCTTATTCTCAATTAGCTCCTCCAAGATATTCCTGTTCCAAACAAACCGTGGGTCAGCCTGAAATACAAACAGGGAAGTTTTTGATCTTCAAGAAGTATTGTTATGAAGGAAATGGAGTAGTTTAAACAAGTGAGTACATGTCTTATAATGAAAATGGACATAAAATTCCAAATAATAAATGCTACAGTGCAATTAAAACAGAATATCATATGTGAGAATATACCTGCTTCCAAATTGGTTTACTCATCCACCCATCAGCCAATTTATATCTTCTCTGTAAGCTGTAAGACATCAAATTTCTTTGAAATCAAAAAGGTTTTCTAATCTAAATACCAAATTATAGGAGTTCATCATTCAATAAGAAAACGTACTTTAATGTGATATCTGTTTCGTAGGAATAATACAAGCCAGGAGTCTCCTCTACAGTTCTCAACAATGTCTGGAAGTAAGCCTCATCTTTTTTCTGTATAATGATGGTTTTATGAGACAATTAAAGTGTGGGACTTAATGGAACAGCTTGCAGAATTAATGAACTTACTTGCTGATTAGTAAGATTACTTAAACCTTCATTACAAGATAAGAACTTCATAGACATGACTCTGAAGACAGGATAACCAAGGTAAGTTCCAACCTCCTTGCAAGAAGTTATGACCAATACATATGTCCCTACATAAAAACCACGAAAAGTTCAATACATTCATCAAATCTTTGGGCTTACTATAAGTTGAACAACTGTCCATGTATGGAAAAACAACTGCAAGTATCATTGTTATGGATGCTAAATGATATTTTATCCAAAAGGTTCTATGGCTCTCTGCCTGTATCTAATATATATGTCCAACAAACCCTAATATAATAGTAATTATCACCTGCAAGCAATCTGATTGTTCCAGCAACTCCAAATATAGTATACATCCTGGAAGCAGTTTCCAAATTAACTTCACCTGTGACAAGTTAAGAAATTTCCACGTTAGCACATCTTATAAATAGGATTATGCATATATTTACATCTTCAATTGATGGTTGTTTCGATTTACCATGAACCTTTTTCAAATTATTTAGGTAAGTAACAAATTTATGTTTCTGAAACTTCAACATACTGAATTACTGATTCAATTTTAAATTCTAGTCTACAGAAAATAAACCAGGCGACTTGATTCTGAAACTGAGCAAATGCCAGGAAGTTTAGCTATTCTACGCAAAATTAAACATGCTCTTAGCTCCTCTAGCTTCTCAATTTTGCATAAATAAAAAACCAAATCTAACATACACAAACGGAGAAACTTGAAAATTGAAAAAAAAAAAAAAAAAAAAGCAATCAAACAAACCGTCAAGATTACGAAAGGTTCCATCGGAACGAGCAATAGAGAAGCCTTGATCCGGAGATTTAAATGGTCTGATAACGAATTTATCTGGAAATTCGTGCAACTCTAGTTCGCTCCATAGCTTGAAATGACTCTTTCCAGTTGAAGAAGGCGATTCGATTTCCATTTAGCAAATACGATTGTTTGATTGAGTGAATACTAGTTGATTAAAGAAGGGTAGCTACTGATTTATGAATGATTAAAGATGGAAAGAGTAATTTACATTGAAAGGGCTAATGCAGGTGGGGGATTAGGTGATTAAACCACCAGCAATAATATTCCTTCAATGAAAAGGTATTGGTAGTTGCGATGAACAAAAACTTTAACTATATTTGGTCAATCGCTTTTGCTCAACAAAATTACCAAACAATCGGATGCTACTTATTATAGTAACTTTGGATTTTAATATAATCCATGAATTTCCATTATTTATCATTTTAAGTTGTAATAAAAAAATATATATTTAATGGTTTCATGTGGTTTTGTTTTAATTATGGCTTTGATTTTTGGATATTTTGTTTTAATTTGTTTGTAACTAGTTGGTATGCCTTGGATTACATAAACCAAAATTGTAACCAATGAAAATTATGAAATTATAATTATTGAAATTTAAACTATCTAAATCTACAAATTCAAAACTACAAGGAGTAAAACTATAATTATCTTCAATTTAGTTACAACTATAGAGTCCAAAACTGTAGTCAATGCAAATGATATAAAGAGCCAAATGTAATCATGGAAAAAGAAAACCACAGGAGCTAAATCTATACAATTTAGAACTATATAGACCAAAACTATAATTATAAATCTAGGGGACTAAACATGTAACCATTCTATTACACCAGGGGTCATTTCTGTAATTACGGCGGCACATGTTAGCATCAATCACCGTCAAATCGACGATAATTGTCAGTATGTAGTAATTAATTTTCCTATACAAATGGAAGTTATCCATTCAGGATTCATGGGTTGGTTACGTTGATGGGGGTTGCGTATGGTAGTGAGGCTCATCCATGATTTGCTTATGGCAAATTTGATAAGATTTGTGTTGTCTAAGTGGATAGGGCTTGAATGACTTTCTTAGGTTGATCGTGCACGTTTTTATACAACAAGGTTGACATATATATATATTATATATATATATATATATATATATATTTAAACATGGTTTTAAATAAAAAAAATCAACAACAACCATCACATCATTTTCTATACCAAAAAACGAATATTTCAAATATGAGAAATTAAATATCCTCCTACAATTTATTCATATTATCATTTTATCCACATTAAATGGTGACAAGTGGACTAAAATATTATTAAGGGCGTGTTCGGCAAAATTAGCTTGTAGCGGGTAGCGGGTAGCTTGTAGCTTGTAGCGTTTTGTTAAACGCTACATGAAATAGCATTTAGATTTGGAGCGTTATGTTTGTATGTTTGTAAATTGTTTAAATATATACTTTTTAACTTGTTTAAATTTATACTTTTTAACTTGTTTAAATTTTAAAAAGTACTTCATTATATTTAATAGATTTTAACCATGTTATGTTTGTATGTTTGTAAATTGAAGGTGGAGATTTTTAACCGAGATGAATGCTCTTTGGGTCTCGCTCATTTTTGGCAATTCGTAGGGGTTGTGTACTTTTTGTTAAGGGAACACTAAGATGCAAATTTCAAGGCATTTGGAGCAATATTATATTATTATTATATTAAAGCATATTCAATACCAACACATAGATATGGATTATTATTACATAAAAAGGTCGGTAAAGGGAATTTAGCGGCGATTTGGGTTGAAAATTGGTTTGGTGGCTCTTCTTTTAGGATGCGGTTCCCGAGTTTATTTGTGCTCGAGTTGGATAAAAAAAAATGCTTGGTTGATTCTCTTTTTAACCAAGAGGAGTGGCTTTGGGGGTGGACACATATATCGGGGTAATGGAGGCCTCATGACTATTCAAAATTTAAGGAATTTTGACAATATTTAATTTTTGAGAGGTGATAAGGTCGTTTGTATACCGGCAACGAAGGTGCTCGTGGTCTACGTGGCCACGAGCGTTGTCCGTGCACACCATCCCGGACCATCGTGGTCGTGGTGATTCGTGGTGGGAAAGACGGAGGACCACGGAGTTGCCTCTCTCATCCGGCCCTCTTCTTCTTCCTCTCTCTCCGTTCGTGCTCGTCACTGGTACACCACCACCGGTTCGTGCTTCGTGTTGGTCTTCGTGGTTGCGTTGCTCGTGACAAGAATTGCAGATGGCCTAAGGCTAAAGGATGTAGTGTATTTTTTTGTTAATGGTAAAAGGATGTAATTTAGGCGTCATATAGTTTAAATATTTTTATAAATTTTGGGCATGTTCGGCAAAACTAGCTGGTAGCGGGTACAGTGGCGTAGCCGAGATTTTATTTTAGGGTAGGCCAAATAATTTACAAAGTATGAACAAGATATCGGCTCTAAAGTTTTGAATTAGGTTAGACCAAATAATTTATAAAGTATGACCGAGATATGTGATCTAAAGTTTTGAATGGGATGAACTAATTCTTTTTATTTAACATAAATATTATATATATATTATATATATATATATATATATATATATATATATATATAAACTTGAATTTTTGTGGGGTGGGCCAATGCCCACCTTTACCTCTATGTGGCTACGTCACCGAGCGGGTAACTTGTAGTGGGTAGCTTGTAGTTTGTAGTGTTTTGTTAAACGCTACATGAAGTAGCATTTGAATTTGGAGTGTTTTAACGCTAGAAGCTTGGAGTGTCGAACGAGACTTTCTGTTCAAAACGGAGCGTTTGACAAACGCTAGAAGCTAGAAGCTTTCAAACGCTCCCAAAAGCTCTGTGCCGAACACACTCTTTATCTACAAATTATAATGGTTTTACCTATAAACTCTTTTTTTTTTAATTTCAGTTTTTTAATAAAAATCATACTAAAATTAATAATTACATTTTAGAATTTCTAAAAAAATAACATGAAATTACAAATTACATTAAAAACCTAAAAAATAAAAAAATAATAATAATAAAAAAACATGAAGTGAAAAAAATTTTTAAAAAAAAAAACTAGAAAAAACATAACATCGAAGCTACAATTGCATATTAGCTTATATTTTTCGCGAATCAACGTCTTCACCAATTTAGTCGTCTCCTAATCTTTGGGGTCGAGGAGTCTCACATCTTGCATCAACAACGAATATTTATGAGTCGGATGATTTCAACCATATGTTTCTCCAAAGTTGTATTCAATTGTGTCATTTGTGTCATCATTTCCTCCGATCTAGTTGACTGCTCCGTTCCGACTGACGATTTGATGATGTCGTTTTTCCTTTTCCTTTTCCTCGAGCTTTTGCTTTGTCCCTTCCCATGGGACGAAGAGGCAGGCGTAGTTCTTCGATGTCGCCGTTATCATCATTAAGATCAACGCCAATGTGACCATCCAATGATATTTGTTGTGAGCTTGAATATGAAGATGTTCGACTTCTTTTTGGCGGATTAGCAATGTCTTCATGTGTTGCAAACTCCTTCCACCTAATGTTTCTTTTGACAACTTCCCACACATGAATGAACTTAAAAGGCTTCAACATGTCACCTTGAAATGTCGCGTGCGTTTTTTTCAACAAACTCGTTTTACTTTCACCGCTAGCCCATTGCTTTTCGAAGTTTGTGTAAATTTTGTTCCAATGTGTCACGAGTTTGTTAACAAGATTCCATTTTGAGTTACATTGGTAGGACGTTTGGTAATCTGGTTCTCGACCCATACCCTTACAAAACCACTCCATAACATGTAACCAAAATTCATCACGTGATTGGCCTTTTCCTGTGTTGCTATCTTATGATATGTCGACATATGCCTTTGCTAATTTCGTCTCTTCTTTTTTACTCCATCTTCTTAGATCGGCTTTCCCTTTTTTGAGGTTGTTCATCGGGCTCAGAATCAAAAAGAGTTTTGGTTGCGGATGTGAAAGGCGGTTGAGATTGAAATTGGAATTGGGTTTGCGTTTGGATTTGGATTTGGGATGTTGTTCGAGGTGGTTGGGGTTGGAATTAGAATTGTTGTGGCATTAGGAATTGTGAATAATAGCTAGGAACACCACCTACAGGATTTGGATTTGGATTTAATTAATTGTTAGCCAGAAATTAATCAGAATTGATTTTGGGGTTAAAAGAATTAATTATAAAGTGCAGGGACTAGTTTGCAATTAACTGATAGTTGAATGGAAAGATCCAGAACTCCCTTGGAAGGGGGGTGGACGAAAACCCTAGGGGAAACCCTAGAGAATTCGTCCAAGGGGTCCAAGATAAGGCCTTGGGTCTTGCTTAGGCCCTAAGCAAAGGATAACTAGGGTTTTCCCTAAACCCTAGTTCCCTCAACTATTTAAGGAGCCTCCTGGCTCACATTTTGGGGACTGATTTCTTTGGAAGAAACCCTAAGGCCGAAATTGCATACTCTCTCCATCCTCTCTCCTCCAAGTTTCCTTCTTGCTAGTTCTTGGGTGTGATTCCATTAGAGGCATTACATTTTGTGGTGCTAAGCTTCCAAGAAGATCAAGATCAAGATCAAGAGGATTATCAATTGTTTGCTATAACAATTGAAAGGTATGTAACTCCTAAACCCTAGTTTGTTAATTTCGAAATTAGCCTCTCTCCTCTAGGGTTCTTGTTTGCAATTCAAAGTTATATGTTCAATAGTTAAAACATAGATCCAAAGTAGGTTGCATGTGAACTTAGGAATTGTTTTCTAGTTTATTTGTTTTACCTAAAACCCATCAGTGGTATCAGAGCCATTGTTTGTTTTAAATTGAATTGCTATAATTGTTGAATTGCAAATTAGGGTTTATAGCTATTAAACCCTAAAGGCCAAATTTTCGATTTCTAGGGTTTTGGATAAAATGGTTTTTTCGAAAACCCTAGCCTCCAAAGAACCCTAATCGAAATTAGGGTTAGGGTTTTGAAAACCCTAGCCTCCTCCCTTGTAAATTTCGAAATTGCTAGAAGTTTTAGGGTTTCTTGTTTTGGATAATTGTTACTTAATTAGATTAATTGGATAATTATCCTTACCCTATTTTTCGAAATTTAGTGGGATAAGGATTAGGATTAAATTAATTGATTAATTTAATTAGATAATCCTTACAAGATTTAATTTGATTAATAGTTAATTAAAAGATAAATATTAAATCTAGTTAATTGGTTTATTTAAATTTAAATTTAATAGTTTGAATTTCGAAATTTATATAAACCCTTGAAGTTTTAAAATGTTTTAAAACACACCCTATATATGTATTATGATTAAAGTTTAATATATATATGTATAAGAATATGGTCAGTCAAATCGCTAGTATGCCTCATTCACGAAGCTAATCTATAAGGGGGGTATAAGGAAACTGCCTATAAAATGGTAGTTGAATGGGTGTCCACTCTCACCCACCGCTTCCTTGATTAGTGGAGGGTCGTTAGCAGAACGGATTTGATAGGACAACTACTTCTCATTAAAAGTATAATGACATTAAAGAAAGTACTAGAACATTATTTTAAAATCCCAACTCTAGTTACTTTAGGAAAAATGTGAAAAGTATGCTAATCCATGAAATTGCACATTATGCTTTATTGGTCGTTAGTGGAGCGTGTGTGGTTAACCAGCACACTAAAGGCACTAATAAAGAGTAGTATGGGTATCTCATAATTGTCATTTTGATGGAGCGTGTGTGGTTTACCAGCACATCAATAGTTAATGATAAAGACAATGAGGTTACCAAGCACATTTGCATGGTTATTCACATCTTGTTTGTGATCCTCGGCATCCCAGTCACAAATAGAAGAGCATAATCTGAGATTAAAACATGCCATTGAATAGTTTCAATGTATCTCAAAAGAATTAGGAATTTCACTTCGTTTGTTTCGTCTAATGGTGGAATTGGTGAATCGTCATTCACCTACCTTTATGAAATTTGCACTTGGATCTCGGCATCCCATTTCTAAGTTGTGAATCTTCATAGTTGGATCCTAACCTTGATATTATATCTTTGGGTTATTCTATTAAGGTATCTTGAAATCTAACTAAAACTTTCTTTCTTTTCAGATGTCTACTCCTGGAAACACTTCTGCTTCGTCCTCCTCCAACCAAAACTTCTCTTTGCTCAATATCTGCTCCAAAGTCGTTATGGATGGCTCTAACTATAACGATTGGATGCGCAACATCAAGATGGCTCTTCGTTTGAGAACAAAGAATATGTTCTTGAAAAGGAGCTCAAAGAGCTTGATGAGTCTGAAGCTACTCCTGAAGATTGCTGCCTACAAGAAACATTACGATGATGCTACCAAAGTGGCATGCATCATGGTGGCAACTATGTCCCCAGAACTGCAGAGGTACTATGAGGACTACTGGCCTTTTGAGATGAACAAGGACCTTATGGAAAAGTACCATAAGCGAGCTCGTCAAGAAAAGTTTGAAGTAGTCAAGTCACTCATGGCTTGCAAGATGAAAGAAGGGGAGTCGGTTGTGTCACATGTGCAAAGAATGCAACGCTACATAGAGCGTTTGGTCAAGCTCAATATTCACTTTGATGAGGAATTGGCCATTGACATGGTTTGAACTCACTTCCTGAATGTTATGGTCAGTTTATTCTAACTTACCATTTGAACAATACTGAGCAGACCTTGGCCCAATTGCACAACTTGTTGCAGACAGCTGAGGCAGGGATGAAGGGTAAAAGTATACCCTCACACCTACGAGTGCCCCTGTTTTGGCTATTGGACAGGGAAAGGGGAAAAAGAGGAAAGGTCCTCCCAAGCAAAACTGGAAGAGCAAGGCTCAAGCTGGGTCATCTAGTAATGGCCCAAAGGCTAAGCCCAATGGTTCCACTCCCCATGTTTCTGATCCAAAAGAGGCAGTTTGCTTTTACTGCAACCAAAAGGGGCATTGGAAGAGATCTTGCCCACAATATCTGCAAGATATCAAGGATGGCAAAGTGAAGCCATCTTCGGCAGGTATTTACACTATTTCTGCTAATAACTCATTATCTTCTCGTTCATGGGTCCTTGATACAGGATGTGGTTTTCATATCTGTTCTGATTTGCAGGGTCTAAAGGAAAGTGAGGAGATAGAGCGAGGAAGGATAAACCTGATCATGGGAAACAGAAAGTCTTCACCAGTAACCAAGATCGGAGTTTATCAGCTTCTGCTTAGTAATGATGTTAGATTAGATTTAATAAATTGTTGCTATTCGTCTGAGATGACGAGAAACATTATTTCATTTCATGCATTGTTCAGACAAGGTTTTACATATTCTTTTAATGATTTGAATGGTTCAATTTCTGTTTATAAGAATGGTGTTTTTATGTTTGAAGCTTTACCTTGTGATGGTGTGTATGAAACAGTGACTTGTGTTGATAGCTAGGAAATAGTGTACTTAATATTGACTTGTCTAATAGTGTAGACAAGGCATGCTTGTGGCATTGTCGTCTTGGACACATTAACAAGAAACGCATAGCCCAACTCCAAAAGGATGGAGTGTTGGAATCATTTGACCTAAAATCAGATGATATGTGTGAATCTTGTCTTTTGGGAAAGATGACAAAATCACCATTCACAGGGTCTTGTGAAAGAGGTGAAGGTCTGTTGGATCTCATACACACAGATGTGTGTGGGCCCTTCAGATCAACTACAAGAGATGCTAATCGATTCTATGTGACTTTCACTGACGATTATAGCAGATATGGATATATCTACTTGATCAAGCATAAGTCAGAAACTTTTGAAAAGTTCAAAGAGTTTAAGCATGAAGTCGAAAATCAATTGGGCAGAAAGATAAAGATACTTAGATCCGATAGAGGCGGGGAGTATCTTAGTATCGAGTTTAACGACTATCTGAAAGAATGTGGGATAGTCTCACAATTGACTCCTCCTAGGACACCACAGTTAAATGGTGTAGCTGAGAGGCGCAATCGAACCTTGTTAGACATGGTTCGTTCTATGATGAGTCGGGCTTCGCTTCCTATTCACTTCTGGGGGTATGCCTTAGAGACAGCCGCCCACATCCTCAATCTTGTCCCTACAAAGAAGGTTGCCAAAACACCTCACGAAATGTGGACAGGGAAAGTTCCCTCGTTAGCACACATTAAAGTCTGGGGTTGTGAAGCTTTCGTAAGACGAGAGACTCACGACAAGCTAGCAGCTAGAAGTGAGAAATGTGTTTTCATTGGTTACCCAAAGCAGTCTTTTGGATATTTGTTCTACAGGCCTAGTGAGAACGTGGTCTTTGTAGCACGAAGAGGAGTCTTTCTTGAAAGAGAGCTCATATTCAAAGAGGACAGTGGGAGCACTATTGACCTTGAAGAAATTCAAGAGTCAGCCAATGAAGGAACCTTAGATGACACTAGCACTCAACCAGAGGAAACAGTTCCTGTTGAACCAATCGATAACTCATTACCTCTTAGAAGATCCACTAGGGTGAGTGTGCCACCTGAGTTGTATGGTTTTCATATTACTTCAGATGGTGACACATTCATAAGTGACAGAACACTGGTAAACTTAGATGAACCAGTCACTTATAAGGAAGCAATGGCAGGCCCAGAGGCTTCCAAGTGGAAAGAGGCAATGGACAGCGAGATTAAGTCCATGTATGACAACCAAGTTTGGAATTTGGTTGATAGTGCACCAGGTCGTAAGACAGTTGGGTGCAAATGGATCTTCAAGAAGAAGACAGACATGGATGGAAATGTGCACACATTCAAGGCTCGACTGGTTGCAAAAGGTTTCACT